CGCTAACCTCCACCTTCAAGAGTGATTAAAGGATCTCGAGGTGAAGGATCTATATTTTAAACGTAAGGCTTTGTTAAAAGTGGCTATTTGCATTATTTAAATTTTCGGTTGTTCTTTTGCAAGTTCTTGTAATCTCCAAGTGTAATCAATTACTATGGCTTAACCTTTCATTACATCTTCTTTAACTCTACTTGAGTAAGCTAGACTTTATTGCTAGTATGCGAAGTTAATAACTTTTATCAATCTCTTAAATTGCAATTCTTGTATTCACACATAGTATCACCTCAGTCTATGGTACACCGGACGACGAAACCAGACGGAGTCGGAGAAGACAAAGCTAAACATAACCAAACGGGCTTCTGCGAAATTCCTGCGGGGCGGAGCTTTGTGGTTCGAGCTTTGCTGACGGAGCCGGAAGACGAATCCTTAACGGAGCTTGTGGGATGGAGCCGGAAGACCTAGCGGGACGGAACCTCCTTTCCGTCCCCACTCACGCGTGTAGAAGAAGAAAAGGCCGAAGCCACTCTTCCTATTTGTACGAGTCTTGAACCTGTGCGACCTTATTTAATCGGGCTTGCGACCTGATTACACGAGTCTCGAACCTGTGCGACTTCATTGTTGTTAGAAGTAGTCTTTATTACTGCTATTTGCGTGAGCCTTGATTAAATCCCTAAAAATCAGCCTTCATTGCTGACATAAGATTTGTTTTTATCGCTGTTATAATACAAAAATGTCTGAAGAAAATTCATCTCAAAGCATGGACCAAATTGAGTCTTGGTACACCAATGACAAGATGACCTCCAAAGCATGCAATCTTTCTATCGTCTCAATGGGAAAAACTACCTAAAATGGTCTCAATTTGTGAAGACCTATTTAAAGGGGAAAAGAAAAATACACCACCTTCTCGGAGGAGGGCCAAGAGAAGGAGATCCTAATTTATGGGCATGGGATGAAGCAGTCTCCATGTTTAAGTCATGGTTATTGAATTCAATGACTCCAGAAATTAGCGATACATTCATGTTCATTTCCACTGCAAAGGACATATGTGATGCTGCTCATAGATGTCAATGGCACAAAATAGCGCGCGCCATGGCGCACGGCACGACACGGCGCACCTACGGTGCCATGTGTATGGCGCGGCGCGAACATTCAAAATGGCGCGCGCTATTTACGCCACATGCGTGCCATGGCGCATGGTGCACGACGCAAAATAGCGCTCGCCATTTGTTTTAAAATTTTCTTAATGTATTTATAAAAATTTTTTATATTTATTTTTTTTAAATTTTTAAGATGATATATTTTCTAATTTTTAAATATATTAAAGGTATTAAGATAAATGTTAGATTGCATATTATTATCTTCTTAATGCTATTTGCTGTCATTTAAATATATTTTAGTTGTATGAAGATTGACTACTTATTGGACTTGAAATTATGTTTGATTGTTATTGATTTGTATTGTCATTGTTTGCTTGTTATTATGATAGTTTGTTTTTCAATTTATTGATATTTCATATTCATGCTTGTTATTTTATAATTCTTTTATAATTTGTGTTATGTTCAAAATAGCGCGCACCGCGCCGTGCGCTATGCGCCATGTCTCAAATAGGACCTTTGCGCCATGGTGCGCCATTCGCCGTTAACAAGGATGCTCTCTACTAGCATATCCATTTAAATCTCCTTCAATAAAAACTTTTTCTTCAAGAGATATCTTTTGTATTAATTCTTCTAGGTCATTCCAAAAATTTAATTTAGAACTCATATCCAAACCTGCTTGAGGAGTATAAGCATTTATAATATTAACAATCTTAACTTCAACAACAATCTTTAAAGCTATAATTCTATCTTCAATCCTATTAATTTTTATAACATTATCCTTCAAACTCTTATCTATAATAACACCTACACCATTTCCAGTACGACTCTTACCTAAATACCAAAGTTTAAATCCTAAACTATCAATTTCCTTAGCCTTCTCTCCAACCCATTTAGTTTTCTGAATGCACAAAATATTTAACCTTATATGAATCATAATAATTATTAATTCCATTAATTTTTCTGTAAGGGAACCTATTTTCTAAGTTCCTATCCTAATTTTAGTTTCATATTTTTTAGTATCATGGACTAGCTTCTTTGCGCACATTCCTCTTTAATGTGGGAATCCTTGCCTATTTAACACTGCACCTGGACGCCGGTGCAGCGGCCCTTGCACACTTGTCACTGTATTCAGGTAATACAGCGCGTCGCTTCCAGGGGACGCTCTAGCATTAACACAATTTCTTATAGGATTCATGTCATTAAATATTCGACAAGTTTTATGTTGACTGTCGAATACCTAACGCAGCCATCCACTTTTCTCATCTAGGATTTGGGACCTAGCAACGACAGTGTTAATTACATGGAAGCCATATATTTGATTGTAGTGACCTTAGCACCCGAAATGATTTGATCCTAACTAAGCTTAAATTGAGCGCACTTTTGAAATATAATGGTAAACTTCTTGACATTTTATGGGTTAAACATCCTCTAAATTTTCTGTGATTATTGCCAAAATGTGTGTTTCAATGAGGTGATCCAACGAGCCCAAGATCATATAATTGTGAGATCATTAGGCATTGAGATCTTTAAAAATATATCAAGATCAAAGGTGATTGATTTAAACCATTTAATGGAGTGCCCAGATCTTTGGAAGAAATGAGTAAGAGTTTGTTTGAGGCAGCTATAGATGTTTGTAAAATTAGTTGTATAAGTGTTGTTAAGAAGCAAATTTTTTGAAATTGTTGTGGTATTAGAGTTTAATTTTAAAAATTCTGACCAGCTTTCCTACAACTATCACACTCTAGCATATCTTATTGTAAAAAGTTGCTTCTCACTACAAAAAAATAAAAATAATAAAATGCTGTGAGAAAGCTATAGTGAAATAGAGCCATTAGTTTTTTAGCAAACAAAGCTGTGAAAAAGTTATCCCAAATGGATAGTAAAATGCCCATCAAAATTTATAATTAGATTATGATCTTACTTGCTTGTGAGAAGACATTGTGTGAAGAGAATTTTCGGATTTAGAGAATTCTGAAGCTTATGTAGTTGTATGAAACATCAACAAGTTGTATTTGGTATTTTGTTTTTGTTTGTCCCTCCTTCACATTCTTGGTTGCCCAGCTTGCCCACTAGCTTGGAGGAAAACACCTCGCAGCACCTTACTTTCGATGCTGACATTTTTCACTGAAATCCACCATTGCTCGCTGTCGACTAATGTTTACGACCATCGTTGCTCGTCTATTGCCTCCTACTGGAAATTGACATCATCAACCATTGTTCGACTCGTGACGCCCATCATCACTTGTTCTTTAACACGGATGTTGGTTACCCATTATTACCTACAGCAAATCACTCTCCAACATTCTGCATTATCACTATAGGAGACATCCCTATGGCGCAAGCCTTGTAATCCCATCTACTCCAACAACAAGGAATGATGGATCATCATAATCCTCGAGCGATATGTTGGAAGCATTTTAACTTTGCTAAGCCCCTTGATTTTCCATTCTCAGATTATTTACATAAAAATATTATGCCTCTTGTATGTTGTAAATGACTTATTTGTGTGTGCGCCTGATTTTCATGCAATATAAAGACTATGAACTCTCTCTCTCTATGGCTATGAATATTCTAGCATGCCACAACATTGTTAATGGCCAATATTGAAAGATTCTTGTTGCCTAGAGCTGAGTTGTGTTCAATAGAAAAGAAAATGGGTAGAACCATCGAGGAGAGAAAAGCATTGTGGGAGAATAGAGTTTGACTTCAAATGGTGGTTTGAAGCTGTATAATTTTTAAGTGTTAGTATTTTTTTACAAGTAAAAATTTTGAATTATTAATAGATTTATGCTGCTTCAATGACGTAGCTGTACCTTAAGGTTATTTTATTTTCATTACTCTTACTTAACTGTTAAATCTTTAAGGCTTATTTGGTTTGAGATAATATCGTGTGAAAGATTCTCATGTATTTGCTTTTTGAATAATTGATTAATTGTTATGAAGTAAAATTAATGTTAGTTATATGTTGCAATTCAAATGTTTTCTGAAGGTGTCGAATTATTAAGTCTTGGCATTTTGTCACAAGTGAAATTTATGAGTTATATTGATGGATTCATGACTCAAGGTGTCGCAGGGTCTTGTGTCTCTTCTTCCCATGTCTGTTAGTAAAATGCTGCAAAATTGAACCATTCGATCTTATCTGTTTCTTACTCTTTCTGCAGGAGCTTGTTACTGAGTTTCAAACTACAACAAATGAAGGTTCTCTGCATCACTTATGCTTTATCATCTTTTGTTTTCTAGTGTACTAAGGATTTTTCATAATATTCCATGGCATAGAAGTTCATGGATCCTAATGTACTATAATATTTTGCAGAAAATTTTTGTAGATTTCATTATTTTTAAAAGATTTTGACACTTCTGCTTGTGTTTGCAGTATATGTTATTTCTTTCTTGTTTTTTCTTAGCAATGAACAATCAGGTTTGGCTACTTAGGTTCTGTTGGACCCAAATGAAATATTTGGTTTTCAATGTCATACTATGTCTACTTTTATCTGCACTAGGTTCTAATATATGGCGCATCAAGAACGCTTTTCGTCTATTCATAGAATTCTGCACGCTCATCTTTATATGCTTACTGGATCATCTTTGACATCGCTTGAGTTTTGTCTGCACCTCCCATTCCTTCACATTTGTATTATTCTTTTGCTGCATTACTTAGTTTTCTTTGTGTTGACGTTTTGGGCCTACTTTAGCAAAATTTATAACTTTCTTTTTGGTTTTTGGACTTTAATTTTTCAATCTCTTAACATGGAGGTGAATATGTCAGTGATATATGCCCCCGTTTTGTTCAATTTACCTGAAAACAAAGTACTTATTGAAATTTTTAAAGGAAATATTTAGTGATTTTTTACAGTAATGTATTTTATATGATATTTGATGTGATTATAGCAGTGCTGTGAAACATACATGCGGGGTATTTAAAGAAGGCCATATATTTGTCAAGCAAAATAGATGAAATTGTTTTGCATTGTAATTATGTATTGTTATCTTTTATTAACATCTAAAAATACCAACAGTGAATTTTGTGCAGTGCATAATTTATTTTAGATTTCCATGCTAGGATATGTAAAAGAGAAAATTTGGACCAAATTTTTTTCAAATAGTTCTCAATGCTATTGATTTTATATGAGAAATCAATTGAAATTTATATTGCATTAATCTCAAATATATATCAATTTGAGATTCATTCTGATCAAAAAAATTTATCTGGAACGCTTGTGCCAATTGTTTACCATATGTAAATGGTATGCTATGCCTTTTATATTTATTGAGGATCTTCCTTGTGTTATTTTGGATTTTACATGCAAAGAAGGTAAAGCACTTTCTCATTGGAGCTTAGCAGCATCTATATATCAACATTTCATCTTATCATGATTGTATTGTTTCCTCATTTACATTTTAATAAAAAGTACATCTGACTTGCTCTTCAGCTTCCTCAATACCTTGGTAGTAAACTGAGTGGATGCATGGGCTGATGACTCTTTATTATTTTGTTATGTTGCAGAATCAAAAGAGAAGGTTGTAGCCCATTTGGCTAACTTTGCATATGATCCTTACAACTATAATTTTCTTCGACAGGTATGTTTGTTTGAAATGAATAATATTTCTTTAATGGATTAGCAAAAAAGAAAAAAAAAAAAAAAAACTTGAGTGTTGATACATGAGCAGCTTAATGTTTTGGAGCTATTTCTGGATTGCATTACAGAGGAAAATGAAAGGCTCATCGAATTTGGTGTGGCTGGGATATGTAACTCATGTGTTGGTAATTGTCTTGAACCTGTTCACATCCAGTTATAATTCTGTTATTTCAATTGCAAAAAGGCATTTACCTTCTGGATTATGAAAATATGCAAACCAATATTCTACTTGCATATTTCCTTAGGATATCTCCAACCGAAAAACTCATTTTTCACTCCAAAATACAGTAATACACCACAATGTAATAACTTGTCTTCAACCTAATTCCATTTTCTAACATTAAAAAAAAAATTCCTAGTATATTATTTACTATACTTTATTTTATATAATTTTCGAATTAAAAAAAAAAAAAAAAAAATGGCAGGTGAACAGTGCGACGCCACTATTCGCCTGCAATGAAATAGCGTCAAAATTGTCGCTTGGTTGGAGCGATGGAAGAACGGCAAACGGTTCCATTGGAGATGCCCTTAAAACTGATTCCTTCCTGTTTACAAATTGCATTATTTGCTCAACTCTGTGCTTTCTATTGCCTGAATGCTTCATAAATTTTATCTTTTTTTTTCTGATTTCTTACGATATTTTCTATGCACTGCAGATCCTACAAATGCTGCCGTCATAGTTCAGTGTGGTGGGATTCCTTTGGTTATACAGTGCTTAAGCAGCCCTGTAAGAAACACGGTAAGCCACTTGAGGCATAGAAGGATTGATAGATTTCTAGAAGATTTGACCCTGAAATCGTGATGTTTGAAAGGGTGACTTACATACATGGCATACAAAACTATCTAATTTTCATGATTAACACCTAAATCTTATGATTTACTCACTTATCATTCAATTCTTTTAAGTAACATAAAAAATATATCCTCTCATCAATACCAGTAACTTCCTTTAGGCTTCATTTGGGACAGCTTTCTTACCGCTTCTTAAAACAACTTTTTAGTAATAAAATAAAAATTTTGTACTAAAAAGTTATTTTAAGTAGTAAGAAAGCCGTCTCAAATGAAGCCTTAATGATGTCCTTCCTTGTCGTGATTTACTCATACTCTTCTTCATCAATGGGGGTTTTGGGTGAACATCCTGTCGATACTGTCAATGGCCTCCCACCTAGATCTCATCACGACTTCCTTTCATCTTCTTCATCATTGAGTATTTCGAAGCTGCACAAGCCGCCGTCCCGTTAATGCCCTTTGTGGTAAGTTCTCGTTATGACTTCCTATTCGCATGCGGGAGATGGTGTTAGCTAAGTGAAATAATACGTAAATAATAAGATTTAGATGTTAAATATGTGAATAGGATGATTTTGAGTGTTGTGTATGTAAAACTTCCCTATTACTTGTTTTAGCTTAAGCAGCTTATGATTGCAGGTGAATTATGCCTTAGGAGCATTGTATTACCTTTGTAATTCACAAACCAAGGAAGAGATTCTGAAGCCAGAAGTAGTTGAAGTCATAAGGAAATATGCTGCAGCTGAAGCTGTTAGTGTTGGTTTCAGCAACCTGGCCAATGCACTTCTTCTAAAACATGTCAAACAGTGAAAACTTTACAAAGTATGGAATTGCCATGCTGGAGGGAGGTTATGTATTTACATTATATCCCAAAATTTTAATGTATTTATATATCTAACATCTAAATATTTATATTTATTTATATAATACTTTAATATTCAAATCATATCAAAAAAATTTCATGAAAATTTATATTCAATTTTTAGATATTTCATATTAGTAGTCTTTTTTTGTATGATTTAGATATTTAAAATTTATGCAAGTAAATATATAATTTTTTTGCGATATATATATGAAAATAACCTTATTACAGTGTTGCCTTTGCCAGAATATTTTCCAGCAGCAATTGATGTTTTGTCATTGATCTTGTAAAGAAACAGTGAGCATTGTTCACCAGAGTAAATAATTCTAAAAGATTTTGTTCTTTGAGATGAACAAATCTTATTTCTTTGTTAGTTGAGAATATCTTGGTTTGTTTGGGATTTGTTTGAGAATTTCTTGCCCAGTTTGTTTAAGGTTTCGTTTGGGACGGCTTTCTTATCGCTTTTTAAAATAGTTTTTTAGTGCAAAAAATAAAATTTTTGTATTAGAAAACTGCTTTAAGAAGCAGTAAGAAAGCCGTCCCAAACGAAGCCTAAATTTATATGAATGTTGAGGTTGTATGGTACTTAGTACTCAACATTCAGAGCTGCTCAATTTCCCTGCAGATGATTCAGAAATCTTCCAAGTCATGAGAATATTCTTCTTCACTTCTTTCTGCAACTCTTTCTTTAAAGAATTTTTCACCATTAAGCCAATCAGTGTTAGGTAACACAGGTAAGAAATTAGGGTTTTTGAAGGAGAGAAACAATGGATGTACAGGATTTTTTTGGGATGATTTTCTTACTGTTTTTTAAAGTAAAATTTTAATAAAAAATTAAATTTTTTGTGTTAGAAAGTCATCAAAAAAAGATGTTCTAAACTAAGCCATATCATAGATGGTGTGGATATATGAGTTCTAAGGATAATTTGATGATTTTAGTATTTCTCAACAAGTTAATTTGAATTAATATTACTTCATTTATACACTGTTAATTTCTTTCTAAATAGTCTAACAAAGCCATATTGAAAAGGCAGGGAATTTAATTAATAAGTAATATTATTAAAGTGCAAGATCAATAATGTTAAATTTAGTTTGAGATATCATGATCATAATATAATTATAAATAATAATTTTATTTCAATTAAATGAGAGCTTGTCCCTTACATACATTATATATTATTGGATATACTATTTTGAGGAAAACAAGAGAATATAAAAAAATATATTAATAAAGAAGGTAATATTTAAAAGCCTTATGTTTTTTTTTTTTTTTTAATTTATTGTGTAAATGAGTTGAATTGAGATCGAAATAGCCCAAATTTGAGTTTAAACTTGATTAATTAATTAAGTTCAAACTTTATTATACAAACTTGAGTCAACTTATTTATCAAAGAAAGTTAAAACCAACAATTATAAGATCAAAAAATTAATTATGATAAATAAATGCTTTAAAAAAAGAACATTAAAAATTAAAAATAATCATTACTAGATAACTTAAAATAAGAAAAAATAGTGTAATATTTAATATTTTTAACAATCTTAACTAAAATAATAAATATTAATATATTTTAGAATATATTTTTTTAAACGAACAATAAGTCTAAGTTATGATTACTCAAACTTGAAACAGCTAGTTGAGCTATGGGCTCAAGATTCATTAATTGAGTCAAGCTCTCGAGCTGGCTTACATGTTTAATAAATGCTAAAAAAGACAATTAAAAATTTAAAAATAATAATTACAATAACTTAATATAAGAAAAATAGTGTAATATTTTAAATATTTTTAACACCCTTATACTTAAAATAATAAATATTAATATATTTTAATATTTTTAAAATGAACCAACTCAAGACCAAATAAGTCAAGTTAGGATTACTCAACCCTGACACAGCTAGTTGAGCTCAGCTCTAGATTCATTATTGAGTCAAGCTCGAGCTGGCTTTACTTGGCTTGACTCAAACCACTACTCGTTGTCCATAACTATCATTTAGGAAATTATACCATTATTTATTTAATATTGCTATTAATATTAATTTTGCACTAGTCTTCTCAATTCACAATCCTAATGCTTTTTTTTCTTTTCATACAATAAAAAATTATATGAACTACTGATAAAAAAAAGTTATAGAACATTGAGTATAAACATGACCTCATTATATCCCTTCAATAGTAGAATCAAATTGAAAACACCTCAACTCCTTCATTTACACCCTTAGCATAGCACCACAAAAATTTTCATGATAAATATTATGATGTAAAGATGAAATGGTAACAAAAAGAAATAAAATGGCAAGAACATCAAAATCAGAAGTGTTCTCTTGAGTTTTGGGCTTCATTGCAGAAGAACACAACATTCTCAGCATCTCAACTACATGAACAGATTTGGGGCACTGACCAGTAAGAGTTACAGTCATGGATTTATATGATGCACATTGCATTTTAAACATGAGTACACAATTTTTCATAACAATGAGCGCTTAAGTCCTGCTTGAGGCTGCAAATACCAATAATATTCCCCTTAACTTCAAACCAATAGAAAGATGGCAAATGCTCGACTAACACGAGATCGTGATGGTCGAGCATTTGCTTGAATACTGCTTGCAGGCCTCACCTGCACAGACCAATGAGCAAACGCCATCCGGGTAGGCCCGTGTATTGCACGCAGACCTACCCTTGCAGGCAAGCTGCTACTCATTGGTCTATGCAAACATTTCGGCCCCACCAATGCGACAAACACAGGTCAATAAATAGAGCCCCCCAGTTGAGAGGAGGAAAATGAGGTAAATACTGGAGAGAAGTTAGTTTAAACTGCTGAAAAGAATATATGTGATTTCAAATTTAAACCAAATCACAAACATTTTTGTGAATGATAAGCTAGTTTAATATTATTCAGAAGACGTTTAAAGGAGGTTCTCTTAAATAAAATGGCACAGACAAGGTCATTTCACTAAGTGGTCTAATAGAGCCTTTATTTCAGTGGAGATGATAAAAAGGAATAAAAACTCGCCAAAAAAACTTAAAATTCCTTACATGAGCTCTAATACAAGAGCTGAAGCTCCCCGCCACCATTGCAAATCCCAGCAGCTCCATATTTGCCATTTCTATGTCTGAGAACCTTCCAGAAGAAACAATGTGAATATGTTTCAGAATATTAGTTTCAAGAAGATACAAAAAAAAAAGTGAAAACAAGGTTCTGATTCTGTTTACATTACTTGAAATCAATACAAACAACAACAACAACAACAAGCCTTTATGCCACTACGTGGGGTTGGCTATATGAATCCTTTTTCGCCATTGTGTCCGGTTAAAAGTCAAATTATCATTTAAATCTAATAAAGAAAGATATCACTTCTAATATTTTCTAACCAAGTCTTTTTAGGTCTACCTCTACCTTTCTTAACATAAGTCAAATATAATACCTCAACTTTCTAACCGGGTATCGAAGGCCTACGTTTAATGTGACCAAACCATCTAAGGCGATCTCTCTAATCTTATCTTCACTGGAGCTACTCCAACCTTTTCACGTATATGCTCATTTCGTATCCTATCTCTAAGGGTCAAGCCACTCATCACCTAAGCATCCTCATCTCTGAACACTTAACTAGTATTATGCTTCTCTTTTAATGGCCAACATTAGGCACCATAAAACATTGCAGGTCTCACACCATCTTATAGAATTTTCCCTTAAGTTTGAGGGGGACTTTTCTTATCACACAATAAACCCGATGCCATTCCTCCAACTTCAACCATCCAACTTTAATTCTGCTGATAATATCCCCATCAATTTCACCATCACTCTGAACAATAGATCTAAGATATCTAAAACGTGTACTGTTATTAAAGACTTGATTGCCCAAAGTCACAATCCCCTCACTAGGTCTATTGCTACTAAAATTACACTCCATATATTCAGTTTTAGATCTACTCAAGCGAAAACCTTTAGATTTTAAGGTTGACCTCCATAATTCAAGTTTACCTTCAACTCCCTCTCTAGTCTTATCAACAAGAAGAATATCATCAGCAAAAAGCATACACCAAGTTACATCCTCTTGCAAATGTCTAGTGAGACAATCCATGACTAAAGCAAAACGATAAGGGCTTAATGCGGACAATACAAAAAAGAATTAAATTTTAATGTTATAAAGCAAGAGAAAATATCAATGGTTGAATTATCAAAGGTTATAAAGCAAGAGAAAATATACCCCTAGCAATGTGACAAGAATGCGAGCTCCACTACACCCAAGGGGGTGTCCGAGTGATACAGCTCCGCCATGAACATTCAGCTTTTCCTGCAGAAAGAAGAACCCAAAATACAAATTCTTTATTATCATAAACTTTATCCCAGCTATATTGGTCTCTGCTTTATAAATATTCATTTATCATCTATTTTTGTTGAGTATTGCATTAGATATTATACTTATTTTATAAAAAAAAAAATATTCTATTGACACCTATCCATGTTATCTTCATCCTACCAATTTTTCTTCCAAATCATTCATTTAATGAAGCACGGGCACTTCAAAACGTATCCCTTATGTGTTAGGCACGGACGCTCATCCATATGTCAAAAATCATATATATATATATATATATTAAAAATTAGAGTTAAATACTCTACGAATCCTTAAATATTTTATGTGATAAATATAATATTATATTTCATTTTATAATATTTTTTTATAGAAAATATATACAACAACAACAAACAACAATAATATCAAGCATTTATCCTATCATGTGGGGTCGGCTACAAGAATCCTTATTCTCCATTGTGCCATATTAAGAGTCAAAATCTCATTTAAATCTAATAAAGAATGTCATTTCTAATATTTTTTAAACAAGTCTTCTTAAGCTTACCTCTATCTTTCTTAACATAAAGTCAAATCTACTAAATCTACTCTTCCTCAAAGGCTGCCGTTTTATGTTACCAAATCATCTAAGGAGACTCTCTAATCTTATCTGCCACTGGAGCTGCTCCAACATTTTCACATATATGCTCATTTCGTATCCTGTCTCTAAGAATAAAGTAACTCATCCACCTAAGCATCCTCATTTATGCAACACTTAGCTTAATATCGTGTTTCTCTTTTAATGGCCAACATTTTGCGTCATAAAGCATTGCAGGTCTCACACCATCTTATAAAATTTTCGCTTAAGTTTGAGGGTACTCTTCTATCACATAACAAGCCCGATGTATTCCTTCACTTCAACCATCCAACTTAAATTCTACTATAAAAAAAACACTTGAGGTGTCAGCCTAAACTAGTTGCAGCACTCAACACAAAGGTTTTATAACTTACAGAAGGAAGATCAAGAAGCTTCTGATTTGCCACAGCAACAACCTATATCAGAGACAACATAAATACAAAAAAGAAAAAAGTAAATATGTCGCTAAGATGAGATGTTACACCATTATATAACAATGAAAGCGTCAACATACAGAAAAAGCTTCATTTATTTCATAAAAATCGATTTGAGAAGCCTCCAAACCAGCATTCGAAATAGCTTTTGGTATTGCAAGTGATGGTGCTGTTGTAAAGAGTTCTGGTGCCTGCAAGTAAATCAAGAATTTATGAATAGAAGAAATCACGGTAAAATTACGAAGTTCATTATAAATGTAGAGCACTACAGAGAAACAATATAAAAAAAACGTTGCAGCATTAATCTTTTAGGCAAAGACTGCTGTAACATGTCACTAGGTATGTTCATCAATTAATCACAAATAACAACGATATGATTCAACACTGAGTGCATTACTGCCTATCAATTAATCATTTTTGAAGTTACTAAGAAAGCTTAATCAGCTACAGAAGCATCTATTCAAAACGAGACTGCATTTGCAAAAAGCTCACCTGAGCAGCATCTGCATATCCTCTGATCTTTGCAATCACTTGCAATCCAAGTTCTTGGGCCTTGGCTCCACTGACTAGAACCAAGGCTGCAGCACCATCACTATTGATGAAAAAGCTTTCAAGATTTATCTTGTGCTTAAATCATAATGATAGTTTTAAACAGAAAATAAAAAAAAAACAAGGACAACAAGGAAGAGATAAATCTTAATGCAAACAAAACTGTACAAAGCAAGGGAACGAAGTTGGAAGAAAAACATGTAAGCTGTCATCAATTTGCCATACCAAAGTATTAAGGCTTTGTAGTACTAGCATTTATGTCGGATGCATTAAAATTTGATGTTTTTAATTAGATTTCTATATATATGCTTTGTACATTTTTATTTTAGGTCCAACGTAGACAATAAATAAGAATCCGAGGAATGTAAAATTAATTGCATACTAAAATAAAATTTCAAATTTCTACTATTCATGTGTATACTTATTAGATGTGCATTCTTCAAGCACTTCACAAATTTGGACAATTACTTTGGAGTGTAAGATTCATTTTGTTGTGAGGCTTAATTGTTCACTATGGCATAATTTCTATCATTGCTCGTTTTTTAAATTTAGTCTATTTGCAATTGAATTTCGTCAAGCGAGATATAAGTTGAGCTGCGTGAACCTGATTGGTTATTGAAGTTTATTAATTGCTATTATTTTCTTGCATATAAATTTTGGATGACTATTTAATTATCTTTTGTAATAATTAAAACATTGTTATTGTAATTATATTAAAACAAGCAAATTTTTGCTAAATTTGTAACCTAGGAATTATGATTTTTTTTTTTATTTTCATCTTGCATACCATTTGAAGTTACATTAGAAATGCTAGGCCCTTAATCATCTTATAGATAATTGTTATCAAAACCTAGGTTAGTCTCAGCATGTCACTTCTAAGTGGTATGATTTATCAAAAAGCCAGTTCATAGATCATAAAGATGTTCTTGAAATTTTACAAAAAACAATAAAAATAGTTATTAATATGATGACTCGTCAAGGTTGGGTCAATCCCTCCTAGACCGGCCAAACATTAAGTGAGGCGGAAGCAGGATCTTCCGCCCGGAAGAGTTCCGTACCCCTTGGGGTGGAGCCCAAAGAGCAATTCAAATGAGGGGAGAGGGAAAAGCTTTGGGGGAAGGGCTTTTTTGAGATTTGTTAGGTTAATGTATGGTTTAAATAATTTGTTTACCTTAGGGTTAGGGATGTCATGTTTTGCTAAATTTAGCTTTACTTAGGTTGAGAGGGCTCTAGTCGGATGTTAGGGGTTTGGGAGCCGGATATTCCTAAAACAATCAGAATTTATGAAAATAAATGAAAATAAAAATATGAATTCCTGATTGAATTGCAGCGCAACAGAGAGAAAGGGAGAAAATTATTTTTTAGCGACAGGATCGCTTTGCTACTTTTGTAAAAATTGCTCAGGTCAGTGTAGATGATTCTAATCCTATTTATATTTTCACAGATTTTGATTTTAATTGCTTACTTTTCCCCATAATAGATTTTTTGGCATTTTCCCTGGATTTATTAAACTTTTACCGCACAATTTTTTGTATTTTATTGTACAGATTATTCTGAACATTATGATTGTAACATTTATTGAATTTCACAAGGTAAAACATAAGTTATTGTATTTTGTACTGTTTTTACTAATGGAATAACTGATATTTTTATTGTTAATACAAGCATTGAAAATGAATGCATGTATGTGGTTGAATAATAGGTGGTCTCTATTATTTTTGTAGTATTGTGATAATAATATGTGTGAAGACAAATAAAATTTGGTTTTACTGATATTGGCTGGAGACTAATTGACTTGTACAGGATGTTGGGCCGACAGACTTTCATTTAAATATTATGGTTTGATGTTATTCTCTACTAATTCACGTTATTCATTGATTGAGAGTTATAAGAAGATTACTATGCTAACAGGCAAACAGTGATGACTCTGTTTACTAAGCCAATGGTTTACTGATGTTGATATGATACTGAAAAAAGTACCAATTAAGCTAAAACTTCTTACTTGTTTAGTATGACTAGTGAAATGCATGTTAGTGAAGTACTATTCCTATTACTGTAAGAATTTACTATTATTACATTATTTTACTGCCCCTGCCATTGATTTTATTATTAATAACACGAACATCGATACTGTTTGATACTACTATTGATTCACTGTATTAATTACTGATATTGATTCACTGTATTGAGCATGTGATATACTGAGTACATGATTAAAATATTAATTTAATAATGATATTGAATAACTGAATAACATGTATACATCATTATATGATTTTACTGCATTGATATGATTTTGACAGTCTTTACCGATACTTTTATTTTACCGTTTTATATAATTTCTCTACTGATTGATAGTACTGACACGATGGTTGTTTTAGTAATTCGACACACATACTTGTTTATTGATTTCTCCATTATACTGCTCTACTAGCTTTCGTACCGCATCGCTTTATTACTATTACATGTGTGTTTTACTATTTTTGTACATATTCATGATCATAAAAATGTTACTGCTATGATTTAACAGTTAAAATGCATATTACTCATTTGTCATGCTTTGAATTCAGTTGTAGGATTTGGTTATTTGTTCAGCTCTTAAGCTCATTATATGTGGTAATATGATTTTAGATCAAGGCATGGAGCAGGAGTGTGAGATTGACTAAAATCCTTTAGGTTCAGTTTTTATTATTTTAACTATTCTTTTGTACTCATGAAAGAATGGTTATGACATGATTGTATATATTCTGAGTAGTGTACATGATTTAGAAAAAATGAATACATATGTATAATGTATAAATTAATATTTTGATCGGTAGTTTTATTTCCACTGGTATTTATATTCATAAAAAAATTAGGTAGCTCTAGTTATCATATATTAAATGATTAAATTCTGGAGCATCACACTTCCTCTCCAATTGAAAATTCAATTATATCTTATATTTTCTTTCACAAACTTTCAATAAAAAGTGTTCTTGTGAGTTTTTATTCCTAGCTTTCTTGTTGTTTGTTCTTTGGTTTTGTTGAAATCAAATTTCAGCTAAGGGGCTTCTCAATTTATACATCCACTTCTAATCAAATTGGTATCAGAGCGATGTCCTGGGCTGAAATATAAGTCTTCATTGCTGATTTCTGATGCATTTGTTCCCTATGTCTTGTTGATTTTTGCTGTTTGAGGACCAGAATTGTTGTGTTTTGTTATTTTTTTGTTGTTTGGAGCCTAGATCTGAGTACCTATGGTGGGAAAAAAGAAGTGTTGAAAAGGGAGATCGGATAGTTTAAATCTGAAATTTCAGATTTTCAAACTCAAATTTCAATCGTCCAAGAGAAGATCGATAGGAAATTTGTCATCGCTAAGGAGATGAAGAAGTTGCTAGATCGAGGGCCAAACCAAAACGACGATGTCGGAGGCGAGGGGAGCCGCCGACAATCAAGGGAGTGGGGAGAATCCTAATCTGATAAGGAGAGGGGAAGAACAAGAGCTGAAGATCTTGGAGGGAGAGAAAGAAGACCTCTTCTAGAGCCTATTCCTAGGTAGGAGACATGTAGAAGGTATAGGGAGGCGTGAAGGGGTTGGGAATGAACGAATGAGTGCTTTATTTGAAAGAAGAATGACTGATTATGACCGTAAAGGTGTTGATTTCAAAAGGAGGGAGAATTTTAACAAAAGATTTGGGTACAAGGGAAGAAGGGATGATCGAGACACTTGGGGTGGACCACCCCCTTGGGCAATGGGCGGTTATGGAGAAAATAGGGGGAATGGAGGAGATCCGAGGGTGAGGAATCTGAAGATGCCTGTTTTTGAGAGAGAGGATGCATATGGGTGGATCTACAAGGTAGTGAGGTACTTTGCCTACTGAACATGTAGAATAAAAAAGATGTGTGGATGAGTTACATGAGTTCTTGTGCAACACCTACCTTATACCTAAAAATGGTAAAAATTCTAGAATGTGTGTAGATAATCTATTTATTGATAATATCATAATCAAGCATCAATGTTTTATACCAAAATTTAATGATATGTTGATGACTAGGCTATCATTATTTTTTCAAAAATAAATTTGATTATCACCAAGAATAAGAAAATGAAAAAAAAATGAAACTTAGTTTTAAAAATAAAAGATAATTATATGAATAATTAGTGATCCCTTTCGAATTAACAGATGCCCAAAAGTATTCATGAGGATTATAAATCATGTTATGTGAGTTTTATTGCAAAAAATTTTAGTTGTTTCATTCAATGACACTTTGATTTACAAAAAAAAAAAAACATGAGAATAACATTTAGCACATCTTAGGAAAGTAAAAAAAAAAATCCAAGTTGTACCTAACTAAAGAAGTGTTGCTTTGTTGCCCCATCAATAGCATTCTTGAGATTTACAGTGTTCCCTAATGGATTATCAGTTGTTCTGAGTAAATTAAAGTAATAAGAAATTAGCCAACATTTACCATGATACTTTTCATGGGCTGTCTTTTATCAATGATTAATCAAAGAGAATATTCTCATTAGTACAAATTAGTAATTGTCTTACAAAATGGGAAATTTAAATGGACAAAATTTGTTGAGAGTGCCTCTAATGACATCAAAGAGATTTATTAATGTCCTTGTGTTAACATTAACCAATTATTATAAAAAATTTGTGATTTGATATATCGCATTTGGGATAGGAATTGGAGAAAGATTGAGTCAAGATGAACAACCGTTCACTTATTTCAATGAAAAGTTAAGTGATGTGAAATAAATATATTCTAATTCTGAAAAAGACATAAATTTTGTCATGCAATCACTCCAATATTAGAGGCATTCTTTATTGATAAGTAATATATGATATATCCTATATTCGGACCATCAAGCTTTAAAATATCTTAAATCTCACAAAATATACTAAGACAGTAAGACATGCATGTCAAATGGGGCCAAATGGCTACAAGAACACAGATTCGTTTTAAAACATTGAGTTGTTGTGTTGGAATTAAAAATAAGCTCATAGATGCCTTCAGTAGATGGCCATCATTTTGCAAGCCATACAAGTTACCAGAACATATTTCAATAACATCAACGAAGACTCTACAAATTGTAAAGATTACAACGAAATATGCTTCCATTTAGTCATGCTTCACCAATGCTTGATAAAGATGTTCATTTCTAATCTCCAGTCCCTATTATTTTCCTCATTATATTGTTGCTGATGTGTTTACAGTTGTCACTTCCACTGTCTCACCATTATTTTCCGAGTTGATGGTCAATATCTAGATTTTTTTCATGCAAGTCCAATTAGCTTCTTCCTTTTTTTGCACAATATCATAATACCTATTAGACCACCTTAGTTCATTGCGACGTCTCAATCAAATTGCCACAACATGCACATTACGCCTCCCTCTACTCCACTGTGTCGCCTTGCTTTCTTTACAAATAAAGACAATAATGCACCCATGTCTTCTATCGCTCATTGTTTTAATAAAATTTTCATAAATTTTCGTATTTTTATCGGAATCCTTGCGCAATTTTGGAAGGTAAATTTATGGAAAAGTTTATCTTATTGAACTACATGCTAGATGTATTGATACATATTTTTAGTAGATTTTTATATATTTAATATAGTTACTTATTTTGGTCATTTGCATGAAATAAATAGGACCATTGATACATGTTAAATAAATTGGATATTGAATGCTGACATAAATTTATAATTTTTCTCTATTATTGTGTTGCTTATTAGATGTATATTATTTGAGTACTTTAGAGGCGTGGACTACTTCTAGGGATAAGACTCCTTGTGGTTCCCTTTGGGGTGAGTTTATCCGTGTTCTTATCTTTAAAAATGTTTTGACGTTGGTTTTTCGTATATAATTGAAATTTTGAGATACTTGTTAAGTTTTCCATTTAAGGAGTGAACTTGATTAGATGCTGAATTTTGAGCTGTCGTTAAATTATCTTTTGTGATGCAAAAAAAATGTTTAAACACTGTCATTACCAAGTCCCAAGTCTTAGATGAGAAAAGTGGAGGGTTGCATTAGGTAGTTGCAACCAATGTAAAACTTGTCAAATATTCATGACATGAATCCTTTAATACATTGTGTTAATGTTAGGCGTTCTCTGAAAAGTTACGCGTTGTATGACTTGAATACAACGAGAAGAATGCAAGGGCTGCTGCACTGGTGCTCGGGTGTAGTGTTAAATAGGCAAGGGTTCCAACATCATGGACGAATGTGAGCAAAGAAGTTAGTCCAGGAAACTAGAATTAGGATAAGATCTTGAAATGTAGGTTCCATTGCAAGCAAATTAATGAAATTAATTTAAATTATGATTCATAGGAAGATGATATGAAACACTTGTAGCCACCAGTGTTTCCTACTAATATGGAGATTTCAGAAATCTTTCACCACACTGCTCCAAACAAATCAGGAAAAACAACGAGAAAACTTGTAATAATAGAAGAAACAAAGGAAATTCCTAGATACAATTGATCCACAATTCCAGAGAATGATCGTTCTCTCCCAAATCTCCAGTCACCGCAAGAGACCAAGACGCCCAAACTTTCCACACCAAATCCTGCAAACAAACATGATGCCATTACCCTAATTCAAACTTCTACTAAAAGCAAACATAAAATTAAATCAAAAGGACTAAAACGCCCCCTTCTCTCTCTCGTCCCTAGGTAGTGAACCCTACCCCAAGGGGGAGGGGGGGATTTGGTGCTTGCGGAACAGCAGACTTTTGCCTGTTCTATTATTTGAGCCCAAAGGTTGGGCCAGCTAGATTAGTCCCTCATGAACTGGTCTATGCCTATCAGAAGATAAATATTTTTTGCATTCAGAAAACTAAATGGGCTAGAGAAAAGGCTAAGGAGATTGATAGTTTAAGATTTAAACTTTGATATTCTGGTAAGAGTCGTACTAGAAATGGTATAGATATGATTATAGATAAAAGTTTCTCAAAATCAATTTTGATTCATGCCAGGTAGGTCTGCTATGGAAGCTATACATTTATTAAGAGGTTTGATGGAGATGTATAGAGAGAATAAGGAGTATCTACATATGATTTTTATTGATTTAGAGAAAGTATATGATAAAGTTCCAAGAAAAGTGCTATGGAGAGTTCTACATAAGAAATGGATAATGCTTCTATTCAAGTCATTAAGAATATGTATGCAGGAGTTGTATTCAAACACGAGGTGGTTTGACTAAGTATTTTCTTTTTGTAGTTGGATTACATCAAGGATAAGCCATAAGCCCATATTTTTTTTGCTTTAGCCATGGATGTTCTTAGTTCTTACTACTAGACATTTGCAAGAGGATGTACCCTAGTTTATTCTTTTTGTTGATGATATTCTTCTTGTTGATAAGACTAGAGAGGGAGTTGAAGCTAAACTTGAATTATGGAGGTTAACCTTAGAGTCTAAAGGTTTTCATTTTAGTAGATCTAAAATCGAATACATGGCATGTAATTTTAGTAGTAACGGATCTAGATGGGGGTTTGTAACTTTAAGAGATCAAGTCATTAATAAGAGTACACGTTTTAGATATCTTGGGTCTATTGTTCAGAGTAAATAGATGGGGATATCATTAGTGGAATTCAAGTTAGTTAGTTGAAGTGAAGGAATGCATCGGGCTTGTTGTGTTATAGAAGAGTACCACTCAAACTGAAGGGAAATTTCTATAAGACGGTAGTGAGACCTGCAATGCTTTATGACATAGAATATTGATCATTAAAAGAGAAGCATAATATTAAGTTAAGTGCAGCAGAGACGAGGATGCTCAGACAGGATACCAAACAAGCATATACGTGAAAAGGTTGGAGTAGCTCTAGTGGCAAATAAGATTAGAGAGAGTCGCTTTAGATGGTTTGGTCACATAAAATGGCGGCCTTCTGATGACTCGGTTATGAGAGTAGATGTTTTAGATTTGGCCTATGTTAAGAAAGGTATATGTAGACCTAAAAAGACTTGGTTAGAAAATATTAGAAATGTCATTTCTTTATTAGATTTAAATAAGAATTTGACTTAACATGAGACACAATAGAGAGAAAGGATTCATGTAGCCGACCCCATATAGTGGGATAAAGACTTATTGTTGTTGTTGTAATTGTTGTTGATGAATAAAACATGTTTGTTGGCATTATAAAAAAAGTAATAAGTTCTTGCTAAAATTATGAATTAATAACCTACAAATTATATTTTTGTTTTCATCTTGAATATCATTCTAGGTTGCATTAGAAAAGTCACTCTTTTGTTTTAGAATAGATGACTCATATTGAGGTTAAGACTCTATAGGATACCTTCCTTGAGGTAACTGTGCGTTGGACTGAAGATAGCTCCAATTATAGTGAGTTATGCACTTGTTCTAAAAAAAGCCAAATTTTACTTCAGTTGGAGAAGTATAGTGGGAAAACAAAAAAACAAAATCTAATGGCCCTACACAAAATCTAATGGCCCACATATATACTGAAATAGTATAGGGGTTTGCGGAGGGGATTCCTCAAAAAGGTTTCTTGTCCAGGTGCCGCAAAATATTTATGATATTTTGAGCAAGAAGCAGCAGGTGAAGGGGAGCATACTTTCGAAAAACAGTTTTATTTCCCATTTTTTGAAAAACTCAAACATATGTTTTTTTATAGGGAAGGGGAGCATACCATCTAATCAAATGCTTAGGGGCGGTTAAGGATCACTTTTGTTTTTTTAGGAAGTTCACTAAAAAGATAAAAAACAATTTTGTTGAATTTAAAAAACAGCTTAGCTTGTTTTTTTAAAAACTGAAATCATAGTTTAAGTTATTGTAGTTTTCAAAACAGGTTCCCCTCTTGTTCCTGCTCTATCTGGAATCCAACCTACTCCAATGAATTACCTAATGAGGTTAATGAGCATGAGAAGTATCAAGTTATGATAATTTAAGGGGATTATATATATATATATATATATAATCAGAATAAGTAAAGGAACATTACTCTAAGATGCAACGACTTTTCCTGTATTTCATTAAAAGTTAAATTAATCCACTTATATGATTAATCTTAATAATAAAATATTAAAAAAGATTCATACGGTGATTTGATTTTATAAAAATAATTTCTAATTTGAAAAGCTATTCACAAAATTAAATTTTGAAGAAATATAATAATAAATAAATAGCTAAAAACAGAGCTTCAAAATTATACATGCTGAATTGTTCATCGTTTTACCTATGATTTTGTTGTCTATTTCTTTAGTTTTTGAAAAATGCAAGCACATAATAAAAACCAATCACGTTTTATTTTCAAATATAATAAAGATAAGGAAAATTAAAAACAAATAATAGAAAATAAAAGCAAACCCAAAAAATCAGCTTAGTTTTTCTGTGCATTAGTTTTTGGGTTCCCCAAGAATTGAAATTGATATCACTATTTTCTTAATGTTAGATTAAATTAAAGCCATGTGCTTTTCAGTGGGTACGCACATGTAGGAAAATCAGTCCATTTGAATTAATTAACTATGAGAAATCAAAAGAAAGGAGGACAGTGTGGGAATAGCCAAACCTTATACTAGAAGCATTTCCAGCAGTTACAGATCCACCATCCTCCTTGAAACTGGGCCGTAGCTTCCTTAGTTTAATAGGATCAAACTAGCAATCAGAAAATATCAGGATCAGTAACACATAATCTAGCAATTTCTAGAGCTAGAACAACATGAATAATGCACATATTTATTTTTAACACCTTGAGCAACGGAAGCATAAGAGAATAAACAGGCTAAGAAATCAAAAACAATTATAAGGGGAGATTAAGGAAGCATAAACACGGAAGACAAATTATTTCACAATGAATCGAGCAGTTGCCAATATCAATGTGTTGGAAATGCTCCAGCAAACTATCCTCAAACTGAGCCTCACAAGCACGCACACAAACACATGCAGGGACAAATGGACACACTCAGACACATGGAAAAGAACGCTAGAAATATGAGTTAATATTAAAATATCTATCTCCAAAGGGGTTATTTTTAAATCAGTATTTTTCAAAATTTAGAATGAAATTCCAATAACAAAGTAGGAATGCAGTATTAACTTTATTGCAAGGTAGAAAGATTGTGCCAGTCTGACGAAGTTGTACTAAGACATTTAGCCAATTCAGCTCAAGACAGGATTAAGTTTGGCTAGAAAGAGCTATCTAACAATTTTCAAGCTTTTTAGACCTCAACATTGAAGGTCAACAATGATGATGATGATATAACAGAAACCAAAAAAAGAGATACATCAAACAAGATTTTGTGTATCAAACAACAAGCTACTTCATGAACATCAACAAAGATATGAACTAAGATACATGAATCAAGCACTTTTAAAGACAAATAACTCCAAGGTTTAAGAGAAGGTTACTTTGTCAAGGCTCTCATCTCTATCTACAAGCACTGAAGGCTTCCCTCTACCTGCTGAAACTTCAACCTGCAAAATCACATGAAGTAAAAAATAATCAAAGCTTCAAATGCTTTGCACTTTTCTTGCATTTAGCAGTGGTTATAGAAGTTCTACCGGTGTTATTTCCCAGGAAAAAGCACCTCCTTTAGAAGCAGCTATTCCTCGTTCATTACTCTGAATTGCATATGTATCCTATAAATATACATTTTTCTATCAGATCAAACCTTAGTATGCGTTCTGCAAATTTGTTTAAAAAACAACAGATTGCTTGTCAATAGCAATCATGAGTAGTAGAAAATCATTGATATGCACCAACGCCAAAAATCAAACATAACAGATGGGATTTATTATTTTCAACCTTGTCAGCATCAGTGAATAACATGTAGTTGCTAATTATTACTCTACAATGAATAATGCTTATTAAGCTGGATAGAAAGGTTTTTCTTACAGAGGGTTAGTTTTAAACTCTCCTAACTCACAGGAATTAATATGATAATCATCGCAATAAAATTTTGAATTATAATAGATGAAAAAAAATTAAGTTTGTGTCATTCTAAATGCTAAAATGAGAAAAAATTGCAAAATATATTATCAAAAATAAAATGCTTATAAGTCAAAAGGCTTAAAATTATGTTTCAAATTTAAGCAAGTAAATAAAAACCTAAATTTATAACTTCCATAATGTAAGATTAATAGCATTTGCTAATATCTATTTCATCTTCTTTATTACTCAAACTCTCTACCTTATCATTATATTTGTAGCCCTTCATCTCAAAATATGGAAGTGTATGTTTTAAATATAATAAATAATAAAAAAAAACATCACAAAAGGCAAGTGCCTAGGTGGTACTTAAGTACTTTATTGACAGTGCCTTCCTGGGAGGCGTTTGAGTCATTGGAACCTTGCCTAGCTTTTGCCAGGCGCCTAGGCAAGCATCCATCTCACCTTTGAAAACAATATGCTCAACTTGTCCTCATACTATTACCATCATTGGGCTTGTTAATGCAGTTAGGCTAGAGATAGTTTGCAACAATTGAATTGCCTTTTGCATTTATGTTGATTTTTGGGTCTAATTGCGCGAATGATCATTGTTTTAGTCTCATCATTCTTTGGCCACAACTTTTTTGTAGTTATCAACAAAATTTGTTTTGAAAATTTTGTAATTATCACTATTATTACAATTAGTGTTATTATTATAATAACAATAATATTATTATTAGCATTATTATTATTTAGGGGCATTTTTTCCTAGATTATCAACATTGTTGGTCCCTAGCTCATATAAAACAAATTGACGGGGGATTAATATTAGATTGACAACCAGTCAAAAAACTCAAATCAAATCTACTGAAATGAATCCAAATTTAAATTTTGCTGATGTCAAGGAGTTCCCCAAAAGCAACGCACCATTGCTTAACCCGATTGTAGTGAAAAGCAAGTGATGGTTGACTATGTCTAAAGCTAAGATTTTATTTACACATGAAATTTGAAACATTAAATGGGAATACAAGAGAATTGGCGGACATTGATAAGAAGAAGAATAAATGTTATTTATTTATAAGAAACTAAATGAAAAAGGAAAAATCCAAGAATTATAGGAAAGTTTATAAGTTATTGTATGTCGGAAAGGTTAACAATAAAAATAAATAGAGCTAATAGAAAATAACGAGTTGAAAGATAAAATTATTGAGGTTAATAAGATTAGTGATAGAATTATTATTATTAAGATAATCATTGGCCAAAAAATTATATAGGTGAAGTGTTTATGCTCTTCAAATAAGATTAGAAGATAATTTTAAAAAATAAATTTTGGAATAAAATGGATGAGCTACTATAACATACATCTGTTGAAGAAAGGATAGTTATTAGAGGTAACTAAAATGGGCATGTAGATTTTAATATGATGACTATTAGAGGATTCATAATGTCATGACATAGGAGATAGAAACGCAATGGAAGAAACTTTATTTGATTTCTCATTAGCCTATGGCCTTACAATATGAACATATAGTTTAAGAAATGAGAAGAGAAATTTACTTATAAAAGTGGAGTCATCAAATGATAAAAAAATTTCTTACTTGGAAAGAAAAACCTTTATGCAAGGATTACAAGGAGAATCTAGAAGAAAGTTTGACCCTACAGTAAAAGGAAGTGGTTATGAATGTATCTTAAATTTGTCGAATAATTAAAAGAATAGGCTCCTAGGATAAGGTGGTAGAATTTGTAATGTCGAAATTGTTAATACCTTAAGATAGATTGTTAGGAGAGCAAACTAGAATTCTGATAGGAAATACTTGAGTTCGCAAGTAACCCTAAGGTAATACTTGAGTTCGCAAGCAAACCTAACCCAAATCAGCGAACAAACAGTAGCCAAATGGCTGTCCACAGCAGGAAAACAGCAGAAATCTGCTGTTTACAGCAGAAAAACAGCACTTGTCCGGAAAAATCTGAGAGAAAACTCAAGAAAAGACTTGTATTCCACTTAGACGATGAATAAAATAGCAAGATACAATTGATCCTCAATTCGAGAGGAGGATCGATCTCTCCCAAATTTCTGGCAACGCCAAGAGCCCAAAGAAAACCTAAATCTAAGAGATCTCAAATTTCAACCAAATTCAAGATGATCAAACCCTAGGAAAATCAACTATTTAATGCATACAAATCAAAAGAAAATCCCTAAACAATCCCTACATTCAAATTCCCTCCTAATCTTCCTCAAAATTTCTTCCTAAAATGCTCCCGCAAGGCGAGCGGCTCGCGCGGCCTCCGCCCAGGCAGAAAACTTCCACTGCGCGCGTCTGGGCCGGTTCCGAGTGGACGAGTTGGACCGGTCCACTCGACCAGTCTAACAATACTCCCCTCCCGAAAATCCACCTTGTCCTCAAGGTGGAGATATGCTCATGTTCCGGTGGAGGTGGCCATCCTTGAGAGGACTGAAAATCCTTACTATATTGCTGAACCAAGGGCTGCACTGAAAGAGAAACATCCCCTCCCTCTTCCAATCTGATTGCATCCAACCTGTGTAGTCCCACCAGATAATCTTTCCCCACCTGTCACGCCACTGATACCAGGCCAAACACAATCCCGCTGTCGTCAGCTTCTCTTCCTCTGTCAACCCGTTGACAGCAAAGTAACGCTCCACCTTGTAGATCAATCCATGGCCGTCTTCACCCTCAAAGACGGGCATATTCAGCTTACTCACCAGTGGGTCTCCTCCGTTTCCCCAGTATCCTCCATAACCTCCCATTCCTCGAAGGGGAAGAGCTCTCCAAGTGTTCTGATCATCCCTCCGACGATTATACTAGAACCCTTCTTCATACTCTCCCCTTATTCATTCAAAATCATCACCTCGACGCTGAATTTCTTCAAATTCAGCACCTCGACGATGAAGTTCCTCCCTTCTTCCTTCAAAATCAGCACCTCGACGCTGAATTCTTTCGAATTCAGCACCTCGGCGATGAAATTCCTCCCTTCCCCCTATGAAATCAGCATCCCTTCGATCATTTCCCAAACTCATCTCTTCTCTAGAAGGTGGCTCTAGAGGCGACATGTCATCCTCCCCCTCAATGACCTCCACATTCGAATTTCTCCTCCCCCTAAATGGGTTTGAATTTCCTCCTACACCATGGCCTCCAGTAGTCTCCCTTGCTTCCGATATCGTAGGATTTTGTCTTCAATTCCAACAGTTTCTTCAACATTTCTTCCATCACCGCAAATTTCCCTTCTATCCTCTCATTGTTGGAGGTGATTTGAGTTTTGAAAGTCAAAGAACTTTCCCTCCATATCTGATTTTAGTTGTCCGATCTCACCTTCCAAGACCTCTACCTTCTTCCCGGCCATCGCTCTTCCCAAGAATCACAAAGATCTTTTTCCGGAAATGAAAAATCTGCTGAAATTTCAGGATTTCACCCGCCAACGGTCCCAAATACGATGCTCTGATACCAATTTGATAGGAAATACTTGAGTTCGCAAGTAACCCTAAGGTAATACTTGAGTTCGCAAGCAAACCTAACCCAAATCAGCGAACAAACAGTAGCCAAATGGCTGTCCACAGCAGGAAAACAGCAGAAATCTGCTGTTTACAGCAGAAAAACAGCACTTGTCCATGAAAATCTGAGAGAAAACTCAAGAAAAGACTTGTATTCCACTTAGACGATGAATAAAATAGCAAGATACAATTGATCCTCAATTCGAGAGGAGGGTCGATCTCTCCCAAATCTCTGGCAACGCCAAGAGCCCAAAGAAAACCTAAATCTAAGAGATATCAAATTTCAGCCAAATTCAAGATGATCAAACCCTAGGAAAATCAACTATTTAAGGCATACAAATCAAAAGGAAATCCCTAAATAGTCCCTACATTCAAATTCCCTCCTAATCTTCCTCAAAATTTCTTCCTAAAATGCTCCCGCAAGGCGAGCGGCTCGCGCGGCCTCCGCCCAGGCAGAAAACTTCCACTGCGCGCGTCTGGGCCGGTTCCGAGTGGACGAGTTGGACCGGTCCACTCGACCAGTCTAACAATACTCCCCTCCCGAAAATCCACCTTGTCCTCAAGGTGGAGATATGCTCATGTTCCGGTGGAGGTGGCCATCCTTGAGAGGACTGAAAATCCTTACTATATTGCTGAACCAAGGGCTGCACTGAAAGAGAAACATCCCCTCCCTCTTCCAATCTGATTGCATCCAACCTGTGTAGTCCCACCAGATAATCTTTCCCCACCTGTCACGCCACTGATACCAGGCCAAACACAATCCCGCTGTCGTCAGCTTCTCTTCCTCTGTCAACCCGTTGACAGCAAAGTAACGCTCCACCTTGTAGATCAATCCATGGCCGTCTTCACCCTCAAAGACGGGCATATTCAGCTTACTCACCAGTGGGTCTCCTCCGTTTCCCCAGTATCCTCCATAACCTCCCATTCCTCGAAGGGGAAGAGCTCTCCAAGTGTTCTGATCATCCCTCCGACGATTATACTAGAACCCTTCTTCATACTCTCCCCTTATTCATTCAAAATCATCACCTCGACGCTGAATTTCTTCAAATTCAGCACCTCGACGATGAAGTTCCTCCCTTCTTCCTTCAAAATCAGCACCTCGACGCTGAATTCTTTCGAATTCAGCACCTCGGCGATGAAATTCCTCCCTTCCCCCTATGAAATCAGCATCCCTTCGATCATTTCCCAAACTCATCTCTTCTCTAGAAGGTGGCTCTAGAGGCGACATGTCATCCTCCCCCTCAATGACCTCCACATTCGAATTTCTCCTCCCCCTAAATGGGTTTGAATTTCCTCCTACACCATGGCCTCCAGTAGTCTCCCTTGCTTCCGATATCGTAGGATTTTGTCTTCAATTCCAACAGTTTCTTCAACATTTCTTCCATCACCGCAAATTTCCCTTCTATCCTCTCATTGTTGGAGGTGATTTGAGTTTTGAAAGTCAAAGAACTTTCCCTCCATATCTGATTTTAGTTGTCCGATCTCACCTTCCAAGACCTCTACCTTCTTCCCGGCCATCGCTCTTCCCAAGAATCACAAAGATCTTTTTCCGGAAATGAAAAATCTGCTGAAATTTCAGGATTTCACCCGCCAACGGTCCCAAATACGATGCTCTGATACCAATTTGATAGGAAATACTTGAGTTCGCAAGTAACCCTAAGGTAATACTTGAGTTCGCAAGCAAACCTAACCCAAATCAGCGAACAAACAGTAGCCAAATGGCTGTCCACAGCAGGAAAACAGCAGAAATCTGCTGTTTACAGCAGAAAAACAGCACTTGTCCATGAAAATCTGAGAGAAAACTCAAGAAAAGACTTGTATTCCACTTAGACGATGAATAAAATAGCAAGATACAATTGATCCTCAATTCGAGAGGAGGGTCGATCTCTCCCAAATCTCTGGCAACGCCAAGAGCCCAAAGAAAACCTAAATCTAAGAGATATCAAATTTCAGCCAAATTCAAGATGATCAAACCCTAGGAAAATCAACTATTTAAGGCATACAAATCAAAAGGAAATCCCTAAATAGTCCCTACATTCAAATTCCCTCCTAATCTTCCTCAAAATTTCTTCCTAAAATGCTCCCGCAAGGTGAGCGGCTCGCACAGCCTCCGCCCAGGCGGAAAACTTCCGCTACGCGCATCTGGGCCGGTCCCGCGTGGACTGGTCTAACAGATTCTTTAATTGAACGATATCTGATATGAGATGAGATGGATAATTCTATTAGGAGGATTATTGAAGAATTTTTAAGAGAGTCTAGAAACATATCATACACTCATAAGGATACATGATGGTGGAATGAAGAGATAAAAAGAAAAATGCTATTAAGGAAAAAAATGTCTTTTAAAAAAGTGGAAAAAATTAAATATTACTTAAGCTTATTATAAGAAAATGAGAATTATTGAAAATAGAGTTGTAAGCAAAACATAAACTATAGCTTTTAATGATTTATATAATTGGCTTGATACTAAAGAAGGTTATGAAATATACATACAATAATTAAGGCAAGGGATCTAGATATTTTGATCAATTTAGATGATTAAAATTAAATATAATCGGATCTTAATTAAGAATGAAAACCTCGAGGAAAGATATAAAAGCTAATTTGAGATATTGCTAAAAAATATATTTATGGAAGATATTATTTTCAAACACCATCATAACAACACAGTGAAATACATAAAGTAGAGTTGGTTTTTAAAAATATACATATAACAAAAACTTTAAGTCCAAACAAGAAACCTAATGAGAAATGGAGAGTTATTGGGGATTTCGAAAAGATTCAGTCACCAAATCTTTCAAATAATATTTCAAAAACTAAAAGAATCTTAAATGATCTTAGAAGAAACCTTTTAGCACTTGTATTTACAAAGAAAATACTGTGCAAAAATAGAAAAATCAAACTTACGAGTCATACAATGAAGTTATGGCGAGTAATAAAAAATGAGCTTAAAAAAATAATATTAATTTAAGTAAATTAATTGTGTTTTACGTTGGGAAGATCTACTAAGAAATCAATTTTTGTGATAGGACAGTTAATGGATAAGCATAGAGTCAAAAAAGAATCATCATATGAACTTGCTGATATTGAAAATACATATGATCGAGTACCACTGGAATTGATTTGATATGTTTTAAGAAAAAAAAGAGTGTCAAAGATAAGTTGATGTTATTAAAGATATGTATGATTGAGTATAATGGAGTATTGACTAGAATTGTGATAGCCCAAGAGCTTTCACTTACAATAGATGTACATCAAAAATCAGCATTGAACTCATATATTTTGTATTGATTGATAAAATTACAAAAGATATTCAAAGCAAAGTGCCTTGGTGTATGTTTTTTGACAGATGATATAATTATAAGTAGAGAGATATCCACTACCATAACTGAAAAATTATAACAATGGAAAAATGTTTAGAAGATAAAAGCCTTATCATTAGTAGAACAAAGATTGAGTAAATGAAATATAATTTTAATGGTATGATGCCAACAATTATCATGTAATATTATTAAAATAAATGATAAAATGATATATAAGTATAAATGGAGATATATATATGAAGACATAAGTTCTAAAGTTAAAGGCAGATGGCTAAAATAAAAAGTTCCTCTAGAGTTTTAAGTAATAAGAGGACATCATGGATACTTAAAGTTAAATTTTATAAAATCATAATTGAGTCGTCGAAATTATATGATATAAATGTTGAGTTGTAATGAAATTCATTGAGCTCTAAGTTAAGAGTGGCATAAATAATATATTCAAATGAATGTCTGACAAAACTAAAAAAATAAAATAATGAATAATTATATTGGCGGAAATGTTATAGTAACATATATTGAAGATAAAATAACTAAAAATAGACTTAAATGGCTAATTCATGTACAACGAATAACAAAAAAGGCTCATGATAAGTTTACATGAAGAGAAGTTATTCAAAATAATTTACAGTGAATTTATTTAACACCTCAAACAACCCTTAACAAAAACAAATGGAAAATGAGAACTCATAAACCCTATCCCAAATAGCTGGGATAAGGCTAATGATGATAAATATGGGGGTTCAGTTTTAAATAGTTGATCATAAATTGAAAAGTAGTAAGATCAAAGTCACTTTAGTACATAGTTGAGAGTCAAGAGGCAACAAAATCAAAGACACTTCAATACATAAATGAGAGCGTGCGACTATATAGATCCAATTGTACATAGACAGCTTTGAAAACTTGTAACAAAGCTCATTAGAAGAGAGAGAGAACCGTAAACATCTTTATTAAATTATCTTCGAGTATGAGCATATATGTGTCGGTATATAAGAAAAGTAAGATAATAAAATAGAATATCCTCAATAATAAGATGATATTTCAATAATAAATAATGCAGATTCATATTATAAGTAATTTAGTTCATGTAATAATTTAAATATGATAACAATCCCCTGAAAAAGCTCAAGATGAATATGATAACTTGAGTTTCTATACAATAGTGACCAAAGATTTTGTTGCCTGAAGATTGCTAGTGTCCTAAGAGAAGCACAACTGATACAAAAAGGGGATAGTAATGCGAATTAGACGCAAAGTTGGCAATGTGATCTATATCAGAGAAGGCAAAGGTAAAATATTTAAATAGCTATAGGGTATTTCTGGGGCCAAATTTTAGAAGTAGCAGGTTTTAAACAACATTATGTAAAAAGAACATAATTAAAAAAAAAAATTAAAATGCAGCAAATGCGCGGAAAAATTTGACGCATTTAGAATGCGCCAAATTTTTGAACGCATTCTAAATACGTCAATCTCATTGGCGTATTTTCCATGAGAGAGAAAAAGTGAGGGAATAGAGGACGGGGAAGAGAAAAAGAGGGAGAGAGTGGACAGAAAAAAAATGATTGGGGGGTGTAGTGGGGGTAGTAAGGTGTTTTGATAAGATAGAGAAGATCATATACATGAGAAGATCATAAACATTTGACATAACTAAACCCTTAATACTAATTACAACCACCTACAAGTTTTAGATTGAACACCACATGATGATGGATGTTGATGATTCTGGCTTGATAGGTACAATATCAATTGCCCAAAGTGGAATGGATGGCTGTGATAAGTTCAGTGCACAATTCTATAGTTTTAGATGCCTTGGCATAGTGGTATTGGGTTCAGAGAAATGGTCTTACAAGATTTTTGAACGAGCAACTAAGAGAGTCAAGCCCAAAGTTTCTTGGCAAAATTAATGACGAGAACAAGTTGCAAAAACAGATGTTGTACCCAAGCGGTAAAACAATTTTCTTGGCAAAGACAGATTTTCATTTAAATGGAGGGTGTTGTGTGAATATTTGATGATCTCATAGAAGGCAACACAAATTCTAGTTATATGCAAAAATTAGTCCTTTAACAATAAGAAACAATTACCTGCTCATCCCTCGCTATTGAATGCTGATTAGCACATAGTTCAGCACATACTCCCATGCCAAAGTCATTGTACACATCCCACAGACCATCTTTAAGCATTCCATCAATAATGGTATCATTTCCAAATCGAGATCCCTTCCTACAATGAATCAATATATTTGCAACAAAGTAATAATAAAACTAATGAGAACAAAAAATAACATAATATAAATCGTACTCAATGAACAAAGTAAAATTTTTACAAAATGTAGGTTGTCATTTCACATGAACTAAGAGGTTGTTGGTTTATCAAGGTCTCAATCCTTCAACTAAGTAGCTAATGCAGTCCAGTAAGGTAACTAATAAAATTGATGAAGAAGGACAAGAAATCCAAATGTTTGTGAAGTGCCTTCGTACTTTCATTCAATGATTTGAATGTCAGCACCAGGCCATACAAGAAAATTTAAATAAATCTTAATATAATTAAACAGAACCCTCTACTTAAAGCTGGAACTAACCAACTAGCATCGTTACATATTGGAACGATCATAAAAGAAAGTTTAAATAAATCATCAAATAATTGAAGAGAATCCTCCCCTTAAAGGTGAAAACAACCAACTCGTGCCATTACATAGTGTAATTTAACAGGAACGCTCACCACACCATTATCTAAATTTCTTTATCATATTGGTGTTATGTCTCTAATTTTTATTTCTTTTTTTTATCATTAGAACTCTCACATCTACAATCATCATCGATCATCACCACCACAATAAGTTGAAGTTTCCTAATTACCCAATTGACTGGGCTTATATTTCAAACCATTCACCGCTCATCTACAATCTGGTTTGAGTTCTTTCAAAAAGTTCCCCTATATTCCCCAGAAGCCAGTCCAGTCAGCTGGCTAGAGGCTCAAACTGTTCACGGTACTCCAACACTATCCCCTCTAGCGTTAGAGCGAGGAACTGCTTATGGAAGTCTCCTCCCCTGTTGGTTTAAAAACGTTCCACGAGCAGTTCTTGAACTCCCTCCAAGACCGTATAGGCCGCCTCGTATCTCTCCATTGGTACCATGCCAAAGCTTTCACCTCCAAGCACATTCGGTTGCAATCAGTCTCTCTTTCTCTATCAACCTATTGAAGATAAAGTATATTTTCACCCTGTAGATCCACCCGTGTGTATCCTCTCCCTCAAAAATAGGCATATTTAGCTTCATCACCCTCGGATCCCCTCTGTTCCCCTGCTTCCTTCATAATTTCTCATTCCCTAAGGGGTGGTTCCCCCATGTGTCTCAATCATCCATTCTACGCTCAAACCCAAACCCTTCGTCAAAATCCTATCTCTCCTTTCAAATTCAACAACCCTTCAATCATAAGCAGTCCCTCTCCTTTCAAAGTAATCACCACTTTGATCATAATCAGTTCCTCTCCTTTCAAATTCAGCACTCCTCCGATCATAATCCACCCCTTCTCTTTTCAAATTCAGCACCCTTTCGTTCATGCCCAACCCCCTCATGGAAGGAAGCCGGAGAATAGTGGGACGGAGCCTTATCAGACGAAGGCTGAAGACAAAACCTAGATCTCACGGAAGAAAGTCTTGCCGACGGAAGCCTCGCGGAAGAAAGGAGAACCATGCTACCGACCGTAGACCACAAGACGCCGGCAAAAGCTTCGCCTGTTTCGACGATCTCCTCTTCGGTAAAGCACCTTAGCGACCGAAGAAGGAACCAAGGCGCCTGTGCCTCCCGATCCGACTGGAAGGGAAGATCGTAGAAGGAGAAGGCCGACAGGAAGGGAAGACCGTCGAAGAAGAGGAGCGTAGCCGAGCAGCCGACGAGCATCCCGATCCGACGGGAAGGGAAGATCATCGAAGGAGCAAGCCGCCCGCTCGAGCTACAGGTCCGCCCGCTCGATCCCATCTTCGCGTGTGCCCTGATCTACCCGATCCGACTCTTTTAAAGAGTCGGACGGCCCAGTTTTAGTAAACCGGGAAGGTTTTCTCAAAAAAAAAAAAAAAAAAACACTATTGGCCTTTATTACCGACAACTAAAATCAGAGGGATTTTTTTTGGAAGCCTTCATTGCTATCCAAGAGTGTATGATATTCTATACTACTATCATCATGTCAGAAATCAATTCCTCCCAGAATCTGTGGCAAGAACTGGATCACTATAGATGCATAGAAACCAGATGTCCGGAAGATGCTGCGATCATAAAGAATTTTATTGAAAAAGATAGAGTTTACGATTTTCTTGCAGGACTAAATGCAGAATTTGACCAAGTTAGGGTTCAAATTCTCGGCAAAGAGGAGACACCATCACTCAATGAAACCATTTCTCTCATCCGCGTAGAAGAAAGTCGACGAGGAGTAATGTTAGAACCAAAGACAGTTGAAAGCTCAGCAAT